ACCAATTGACGACCAATTTACGATTTGTCTAGCTAAACCTTACCTCAAAGTTTCACTAGTTCTATACACTATACACTATACATATTTTGATTAAAAGTGCTAGTATATCATCAAAGTCTAATTTAATTTTTATCCAACTTTATAATTGTTAGAATGAAGAAGGAAAAATAATTTTTCTTCATTAAACTTTTTACGGAATTCGTAATTAAAAGTTTGTCGTTATTATTTTCTGGCTTACTTTTTTCAAATGAAAAAGATTACTTCAACGAAGCAACATTTTTCATGCAATTACTGCAAACTATGTAAAATATGTTGAGATAAGAATATCATGTTTCTCTAGCTTAGATTCAAGTAATTTATTTAGATTTATTGAAATAGTTAATCCAGCTTTTAATTCTTTAAATTGCACATGCAAAGAAGCGTGTATATTAAATGCGTTTTATGTTCTAAAAAAATGAATTCATCTAAAATTAAATGGACGTGCCTGGTTGCGTGCAATTTTTTTTTTTAAATTCCATGCTGTTGCCATGTTTTATTATTTAAATTAATTTAAATGCATTCAGTTTACAATATAAAATTATTGTATTAATTAAATTTTAGTTTGTATATTTGTAATTTTTTAGCTCCATTAAATTAAAAAAAAAAATACTGTTTATGCATAACAATATTTATAATCAAAGTTCAAATAAACCACAAAACTTTTCATATAAATTTAACATGAATATCAGTGGTAAATGCAAATTCACAAAATTCAACGATAAAAACACGCACTTCAAAGTATTTAAATTCAAAAATATCATTCAAGCAAATGGATTCACGTGTTTTGTCAGACGTGTCGTATGAGCGACATTTTTATCCAAATATCAAGAGCGAAAATTGCGGAAATAAAACAAGAAAACATGGTGAAAATGCAAAAACCTTGACCTACAAAACCATTCGCAGCAGTTCACTTTTCCACACTTCGCTTTCACATTTTGGTTGGACGACAATTTCCTGCATTTTAAAGAGCACGTGTTTTCCGGCTTTTCCATTTGTGTTGCTGGCACCATTCGATTTTCAAAAATCAATTAAATGAACACAGCAATTACGTGCAATCGAATTGGCTTAATTATATTTTGTTTTAGTTTCACTTTTAAATTTAAAAATTTCGTACATATAGTTTTTTAAAATTTTAATTAATTTTTGTCCAGTCGTCAACATAGACTACCAAGTTTAATTGCAGTCTATGTACACACATAGACTGCCATAAAGGATCCAGAAGATAGTTCCACTAAATGCAAATTTAAGTCACCCTACATATAGGTCAGGTCAGGTTCTATCGGCGATCCCTAGTGGATCCACTTAGACCTATTGACTCATTCTATTACTGCATATAGAGAAAACTCAGGGTTTAAAATCACACAGAACCTTTGATGAAGTTTAGAATGCTGCTTAGTGGCAGGGCTTGTAATTGATCAAGATCTTTAAGAAAAGGGGCTCTTAAAATTTTGAGTCTCCGCGCCTGAGCTGAACAAAGACAGAGCAGATGAGAGGCACTCTCACCGTTTTCCCCATAGCTGCGGCAGGTATGATTGAAAGGGAGGTTCAGTCTTCCAGCATGATTCCATATGTTTGCAGTAACCTGTAAGTAAACCTACCATAAAACTGATATCTCTTTGTGACATCTTAATGCGAATATTGGACTTTTTTTTAGTGGAAAGTGTGCAGATTGCATGCAGATACCTGCATATCGTTGAGTCCCATCTTTTAATAAAAAATTTTCGCACAGATAGAACTTAGTAACAATTTTCATGATGTTAACGATATGCCCAGATTACTTAGGTGTTCCGTGTGCGGTCCTGAAGCACCCTTTCTGGCTAGCTCGTCTGTTCTGCAATTGCCGAAAATATCGCAATGACCGGGGACATAGATTAGAGAAATATTGAACTGAGTCAGATATTTCGTTTAGAGAAGTGTAGCTGTTAAAAACAGTCTTAGATGTAAATTCGGCTGAACTCAAGGACTTTAAAGCAGCTTAACTGTCTGATAGTACATAAATGTTCCTGACAAATATATCATCCACTTTTAAACAAGCTACCACCCTTCACCCTAAACACGGGAGCCTTAGTGGCAATAGTTAGTGATACTTGGAGTTCAAATTTAATAATTGGTTGCAGAACAAAGACCCTGCATTTTGACGTATTACTATTACTATATACTTATATGATAGCCCGAATACTATTTTTAGTACTTTATACCATAAAAATGAGTTGCAACCACAACAGCAATAATTGAAACAGCTTTTAAAAATAATTGTCTGTAATTTACAAACATAATATATATATACAATCTGTTAATATAAGATTATTAATTATTTTTTATAAATCAACATCAGTATTTCTCTAAATCAACAATAAATCCGATTAAGATGAAATTTTCAGTTGTGTTTTTCTTTTTTTTTGTTATTAAACATTACGTATAAGTTTACTTTCTCTTTAACCTTGAATATGATTGACCCAAATTGCTTACAAATAAATTAAAAAACATTTATATCTGCTGCTTTTTTCTCAATTATAAATGCGATTGCATAATTTGCAATTGAATAAAGTCACTTACACTAAACGCCATTCAGAGCATTATATCTGTATCTATACTTAATATCTATACGCATATAAATGGCTTGGTTTTTCTTTATCGACATGAACACAACACAAACAATTGCTTTTGGTATAAGATGGAATCATTTCACCCACTCCAGGTCAATTAGTTTCAATTACCGCACTCAAAAGGCGGCTTACACACGTAGCATCTGTTTGCAATCGTTCATCATATAAACATGTGCCGAAATTATCGCATATACATGTGTACATACATACACTTGGTATATCTTTTATAAAAACCACATTCAGATATTTTATACATTTTATACATAAAAAATATTAAACTCAATTCGTACAAGTATCAATTAACAAAAGCATCTATCGCATGCTTGAGAAATTAAAAGTTACTTATAAAGTAAACTGCAAATTTTTAACTCAGTAAAGAAATGTTAGTAATAATTATCTTAACTTTATTATGTATGTTTAACAAGTGCACAAACTATTTTACAAATTTCATTGTAAAATATTATCTGTCGTATTTTTTAATTATTGAAAATAAGAATTTATAATAATTTAATAAAATATTAAACATGAAGATAAATTTTGTTTGGAAATAATTATAAGAAGTATAATTGAGAAAATATATATTAATATAAACTAAAGAATATTGATGGAAAGAATACTCATCAAAAGAGACCGCGTGAACAATGCAAGGCTTACTGCTGTTCTTTCTGGTCGTTGGTGTATAGGAACCCTCACAGAGAAACTGCGTATTCCTTATAATTCTAATCGAAGAATTTGTGAAAACCCGTAAGAAAAAGAGACAATTTTCTCTGTGGATGCCTGGCTTTGGCGTCTAGAAGAAATAGGTTTTTAGGAAGATACTTCTTTGACAGTCTATCAGACTGTTTATCGGTGAAGATGAAAGACCTATTATACTATCTAAATTTGACGGGATGGATTTAGTCTCTACTCTTTAATACTAGAGGTTGTTGTGAGGAATGTGGTAGCAAAATGGCGAAAAATTGTTAGTTGAGGTAAATGGATGGCTTCCCACTACAACCAATCAAAGGATACTGATTATCCGAATAAGAGTTGGGCTTTCTGAAGGAGCTAAAATTCAAAGAACTATGTGTATACAAATATAGATTAAATAACAAATTTCAACAATATTAATTCGTTTGGGCCCCACACTGTATCTTAGTTTGGAACGAAAGCGTGTTTTGTAATTTTGGTTATTGTTGTCAGCAGTTAATGTTGATCCTTCTTTTCCAAAACACAATGTATTGAATTATAAATGTATTTAAATTATAGTTTTGTATTATTTTATAAAGATAAAATATAGATACTTAATAGAATGTGATGTTTTATAAAAAATATGTCAAATGCCGATCATATATCGACCAAATGTGTGACGGTAAAATTTATATTATTATGAATATATTAAGTATATTTAAAATAAATATAATTTATAATTCGAATGTAATTGAATTTATTGACGAAATACCATTGGGCATTTACGATACTTTCAAGCAAATGAGTAAAAAGTATTCCGTGATATTAAACATGCTGAAGACAGACAGTAACCCGTGTATACTATTTATTTTAAAATAAAACAAACTGCTTGGATCGGTCTTCAGATATGTCTCTATGTTTTGCAGACGTTTTCGATCATGCATAGACCCGATAAAAACTGATTAGCGTCCGAGTTGAAGTAAAAATGTAAAATTACTTCACGTTATTATCTATTTATTACATTATTTTCTTTACAACTTCCTCGTATATGTGGTTTATATTGTCGTTTATCAAGTTAGTGGATAGCCTTGATGACAATACCTACCAAAACAGTCTGGGCATCATATTATGAAAATACCATATGGTATGAATTTTCATTGCTGCTTATATTTGAATCGAATCCATATGACATTTTACGAATACTTGCCAGATGTGGTTAGAAATGTGGTAATGTTGTAACTTCTTTTAGCTTCTTAGCATCAATTATTTATTTTCTTGAAGAATCTACTATTAAATATATAATTTATGTCAAATATGCTATATAAAATTCTGAATTATATAATAATATATTATATAAAAAATTAAAATAAGAATAAAAAAGTTTATTTTTTTTGTCCATTTTTTTTTTCATTAATTATTTAAAAGTTTGAAGGGTTCGAATAGAAACTAAAAGACAACAATAACAATTTTAATTAGATTATTGAAAAATTTCTAATTGAATCTAATTGAATTGTAAATTAACTATAATAATATTGTAAATATACAAAATAAAAAATTTACTATTTGATTCTGAATATATATACTTGCCCAGTGCTTTAGATATATTATTAATTATAAAATAACATTTTATATTATAATATTCAATTATTATATCTTATTAATATCTAAATTTTATTTTTGTTTCAGATAACAATCATCGAACGTCAGGTATTCGACTTTCTCGGATACATGTGGGCGCCAATATTCCTTAACTTTTTTCATATAATTTTTGTAATATTTGGATTTTACGGAGCATATCATTTTAGAATAAAATACATAATAACAGTAAGTATATATATTTTTTCTATGTATAAAGTTAAAGTATATGAAAAGTTACAAGTATACGATGTGTGCAGGTATGAGTAGATATATAATGCAGATAGAAATATGTATATTATAATACAATTCCTGGTATTTTGAAATGGGAGCAAATTTGGTATAAATGCAATTTTGTAGACGCCTTCGTATATTTACTTAATCCATTTTGGAATATTTTTTTTTTGTCATTAGATAACTAAAAATACAGTCTAATCGATCAAGTTGGATTCATTGCGTTTCAAATGATTGAAATGCTTTGTTGTCTTTTCAATTCAATTGTTGACATTCAGTGCACATTAATGGAGTTTGGCCCAACAGACATTTGTTATCTGCTTTGGTAAAGCTTATTTTGTGTATTGCAGTAATTTATGTTTTAATTTTATTTTTAGGTATTAATTACTTTTTGCCAAAACATTCATACTTTTTCTTAAATAATTGTTTAGAGAGCTGATATCTTATGAATAGTTCAATGGTAATAAATTTATTATTCATTATTATTATTGAAAAGAAGGAATAGTGCATTGCGTCCTCAAAGATATATTGTGCTCTTTAGTCGGATTAGAGTGTTTCTCCAAGTTCGATTTCTTTAATAAAAGACAGTATAGAGCCTATTTTTTCTAGTCTTGGATCCTTATGATCCATGAAATACTCTCCTAGATGTTTGTTCCGCTTGTACATCAGTGCCATACACTCCCCAAGCACATACTGTGCAGTTTCTCTCTCTTCTCCACAGTATCTGCAATCTGAGTTGGATTGAATTCCTAACTTCGATAGGTGATTATTAAATCTACAGTGACCGGTTAAAAATCCCGCAATAATTCTTAAATTATTCCTTGATTGTTCTATGCAATCTTTAAAGCGTTTTAGATTGTAAATCCCTAAAAGCATTTTAGATTGTGATAGTCTTGGTAACCTTTCCCAACAGAGTTCTCTTTCTTTTTTCCTCTGCGCCGTTTATAAGAATGGATAGAGTTTCTTTGCCTAGACCACAGAATGGTTGTGGGTTATTATTCATTGTAGTATATAATTATATCTAAACTACAAAATTTTGTGATTTAGGAATTTTAATGAATGGTAGCTAAAAACAAAATTAGTAGGGCAGATAACATAAACAACATAAATAAATGCAACTATAATATTCTTTATCACATGAATTCTTTATTGTTTAACTGCAAATAAACAGTTTTTTTATAAAGAAATAAAGGAAATTAACATTTTTTGGAGTACGAAATAGTAAAATACAAACAAAGATTTCACTTTTATTTTATTTTTTTTTTACTCTAAAAGTGATGCAATTGGTGTGCAGAGTCTAAAAGACCATAAATATAATAAGATATCACACTACATATAGTATCGGTAAACCGATTTGAATTTTTTATGTTTTTAGTGCTATTTCAAGACTTAGCAGCGTTTGAGCTACCAAACGCTGCTAATTGTCATTTATTTATTTGACTCTGTACCTATTCATTACGATTTTGGTATTTTTCGATATTTATATAAGCAATTATTGACATAACTTTTGATAGGCTTTATTTCCCCCAATTCCTAATTTCAAATTAGTAGACCATGACGTGATGCCTTAGGGTAGAGGAAGTGTGAGTGGCAGAGTTAGTTTGTTGCCTTCGCACTAAATAAACACGTTGGTTCGTGTTTCCGTTATCAACGCTTGTTTTCTTTCACTGAATTCGTATATTTCACAGATAAACTTTAATGTCTATACTCGTCGTCGTCGATATCATTCCAAACACTGTATCTTTGCACTAAAAATTTAGGCGTACTTTGCTTGAATGAATACCTCATTCAACTTATCAGAGTTTTTTTGTCATCTTTTCTATTTATCACAGCAAGCATAATTTTATGGATATCGATGGTGCTTTTTTTATTAACAAACATTTTATTGACAGCTGATAAAACTGATGGCACTAAGCCCAATGTGTATATAAACTATTGATACTTTCACTTATTGGAACAAAAAAATGTTTGTGTTTATTTATATTATAAAAAAATATTTATAAACGCATAGCTCAGTTAACTGTTAGCTTAGTTGATATAATATGAAAATTTATATACAGGGTGGCTCAATCGAACTGAAACTTCTTAGAAATAATGGAAAGAATGTTGGAAAAATATAACAGTTTTTGAATTCTGTTGGAATTATCAATGGAGTTGCCTTAAGTCTATATATTTGTCTCTAACTCGTTTAAGAAATAAGGGACACATCAAATTTGGGCGATGGTTTTCTTAAAATTTCTATTTTCTGAGTAATTTTTTCCACTCTGCTATATGTTAGCTTAACTCCGATTTAAAGTTGTAAATATTTTAAATTAATTGTATGAGAGATTAATTATATAGAAAGGTTTCAAAAAGTAGTGAACTAAATGTTTGGCTGACCATACAGCTGTTTCGAGTATTGCCAAATACCCATCATCAGTGGTTTTGGGAAATTATTTCTTATATTTAATTATTCGTAAATAATTTTTTTTTGAGACTGTAAGTACCAAGGATTGAACTCGTGCCCTGCCAAATTTGAAGCTAAGAGTCAGTGTTCATTAGACAACTGACCCAAAGTGATTCTTCACTTCATTAAATGAAATATACACTTCATCTAGAGAAAACTAGTTTAAGTAATTTTTACATTGATTACACAAACGACCTGAAAAAATGTTGGAATGCATAAATTCAAGAAACACAAGGATTTAAAACTTAAAAACATCAGAACATATTTTAGGGATAGAATCCTTTTTTTACTGTGAATACTCACTAGAATGCTGAGTTAAACTCGTTAAAACGACCAATTCTTTTATTAACGGGAAATGTACTGGACATCAAAACATGATATCATAAAAAGCCAATTTCGTCCAGCTAATACATTCAAAATATCATCTATACATAATCGTGAATTATCCAAGCGGCCACTTCAATAAAAAGTAAATGTAGATTAAACACTTACTTCAGGATAAAAACGAAAAAAGACAAGAAATTACTAAAAGAGAGATTACTAAAAATAAATAGACATATTATCTAATATTTTCTAATATTCGAATTCCATCACGGATAAAAATGTTTCCGAAGAACGGAAACAACGACACACTTGTATGAAATATATATGTATTTTTGCCATTAGTTTGAAAATCATAGCAGTTTAAAATTGATTGCAATTCAATTGGACCACCTAATATATTTTCTATTTTCTGGGATTGAAGAAGAAGTTTCAAGAAGTTTGGTACTACGACAGTATTTTTAAAATAATTTTCAGAATTCAATAAAACTCTTAATAGTAGTTGTGATATAGACCCGCTGTTGATTTATATTTAAATGTACTACTTAACGTCTTTATTTTTTTCTAGTTTATATCAAACCATGAAATTGCTTTTTGAAGTAATTTCATTTAAAACGAAACCCCCTGTATATTTGTATTAATTTTTAGGGTTAAAAAAAAATTACTGTACATTTGCATTAGTTATTAGGGTAACAACAAAATTTAAACAAACAACTTAAAGAAATTAAATAAATGAATTATATGTATTAAAACTATGTTTGTAAAGGTTATTGAAATTTCGGTAATTTCAGAGTTACTATATTTTGTTGTATTTAGTAGGGACATCTGTTTCAACTTAGTATATAAAGTGTATTTTTAAAATAAAAAAGATATTACCAAAATAATAACTATTATAAACATGTATTTGAACTGATATTGGTTTACAAGGGTGGTTCGAAAAATTCCCGACTTGGTTGGTTGATAACAGTGATTGGTCAACAGATATCCGCTGTAGCGATTTATAGCCGTTTTACTAACACGTCTCTCGTAAGAAAGGTTGAGTGATAAAAAGAAAATATAAACTAGCTAACTATATATAGATCTTACCCGTTAAATTTAGTAATATAACATATCTTTTGTCTTTACTAATGAACAATCTGACAAACAGCCAAAAAGTATTTTCATAAAAACCTGTTTCTTCTGGAAACCAAAGTCGAGCATTCACAGTGAAAATACTTAATTGTTTAATTCGAGACTTATATATAAAAATTATTTTTAAAGTTAAATATGAGTTTAATTTTCGAGATATTTTTTTTTATTTCAATACGCGTTTGTTCAACTTTTAAATATTCTTCATATAATTTTTCAATAAATCAATAGGGATTTGCTGTTGCTGTTGAAGCTAATTACCTTTCTGTCTAGTCGTATCTTCATGTTTGGAAATATGCACCTTAAATAAGTTGCTGTACCTCATTTCACCTATTTGTACTCGTGTATAGTTGTAAACGTTTGTGTAGATGTCCTATCATTATCATTATACAACTGGGGTTTGATGTTTTTCGAAGTTAAACCATTCATATGTTGGACCACTATGATTTTGTGTTCTAATCTTCTACAGATATGTAACCACGTAATGGATTCTGCTTAGAAAATGATAATACATAGCTCAAAAATATAATTTGTTAAAAAAAATGCGACTTAACTATACGAATATCCCAAATCTATTGTTGGGATTTTTAACAACTTGAGTTGCCTTGTATAAATAATTGACATAGATATTTATTTAGCTAATATTTAGCTAATTAATATGAAAATGAACTAATTTTTATTTTTGTACTAATTTTCAGAGTACTTCACAAATTATGGGTGTTTAAAATAGTAATAAAAATATTTGCATTTTATCAATTTTATTTAATTACCTAATATAGATACGAGTACCGTATTGTAGATTCCCTCAATTTAAAATTATAAATAACCCCAATATTTACAAAAACATTTTACTTAGCAAAGTAGCAAAAAACGTCCTAATTGTTTAGGTGTCGATAAACTTGCCTTAAACGTAGTATTTTTGATATTAGACTCAAGTGAATTGAGTGTATATGTAGGGCATTTGCCCGCAGAAGATTGATAAATACTTCAAGGCGTCTAAATATTGCTTAGAAGTATTCTACAAATGTCAGGGTTGATAAAATATGGGTGCAATTGAATAGTCAATGGAAAATAATATCTTATCTCCAACTAAAATAGATTACAATAAAATAATAATCGTTATAATATTTAATAAATGAAAATCATTATCTTAAGTGTTTATGATGATTAATGTGCCTGTTCAGAATATATTTAAATAAAGGGTGTTTCTGCTACTCTAATAAAGTAAATTTGATAATATATTTACATTAATACATTCATTTTGTATAATAGCTTAAAATCTATTTATTATTATATGTGTATATATATATATTATTTAGATTATATTTGCAGGTGTAAACTCTCTTAACTTATGTTTTTATATTAATCGATTAGTGGGTGTAAATGTTTAGATACTCCTAATTTTTTTTAGTAATTATTATTAAAATGACATTGTTTTAACTTAATTTCAGCTTCTATGATTCTCTTTCTTTTTAACATATCCTAACATATTGTCCATTAATGACTGAATGCATCTATTATACAAATATATGTTAATAATTATTTTCCTTACTTGAATCCCAATTGATTATGATTATCAAATGAAAATTATGTTGTTAAAAGTGTACTGAGGTAGTTTAACCATCAATTATATATATATTACTAAGCTTGCTTTAGTAGTGTTATGGAAAATTGTTTTTGTGTTCATAGATAAGTGTGTGTACATACTTCAGATTTGTTTAATATTTAAAGTAAAACGACATTATGAAAGCTTATTGACCCTTTTACTTTCTTAAATAGTTTAGTTGCTAAAAAACTGGTTAAATGGACCGGATCGGCGGACGACTTTTGTCAGGTTCTGATCATTTTGGAAGACGTACACAGTGTACTGTTCTTTTGTTTCGATTTCATAGGCGTAGATCCATGATTCATCATCTGTAATGATGTTGTAGACGTGTTTTGAACTACCTTGGTCGCTTTTTTCAGCATTTTCTTGCACAAATTAACACGTCAACACAATGAACAAAAAAGAATGATAACAGTATTGATATTTACTAAAGTTCTTCATATAATCGTAGTGTCCGAGAAGTCCGAATACTTTTCTCAAGAACTTTAATCGCCCTCATACAGTGCTTATTTGGAACCAATAAAGTATAAGACTTAATGAAAGAGGATTGTTCTTACTGCAATTGGCAAATCGATTAATGAAATATAGTTAATACTCGTAGTATGTAACCGATTCTCAAAACTTTAAGGTCTTAGAAAGAAGTAATGAACAAATGATAAGATTGGGTATTTATGGATGAAAATATTATTGCGATATATATACTTATGTCTTTTACAATTATCTAACAACAGCTTTTTTATTTGTATCTAAAGTACAGCACTAATTAATTTATTTATATTTAATAAGTATTGGATAATTATTAGATACTTAATTATAGAACTAATTCATAAATGTTTTCATATTTTCAGTATTTAATATGGAATTTCCTGTGGATAGGTTGGAATTCGTTTTTAATATGCTTTTATCTAAACGTAGGCATATTGGATAGGGTAAGTATAATATAATATTGATATATATATATATATATATTAAACTATATATAATAATCTTGTGAAAATAGGATAGCGATTTGCTAAATTTAGGCACTGGCAGTGTTTCTTGGTTTGAAGTGAACGGTTACGGCTGCAAGCCAACTTATCCCACAAACATAACTTCCGATGATCCTTACCGTCCAATACGTCCAGAACGTGTAGATGAATGCTTGTTGGATTATACTATTGTTGAAGTGATACAATCCGGAGTACAATGTGCTTTGGCAGTAAGTGGTTTTTTCAAATTGTTTTGGTTTTATTTTAAACTTAATGTCTTTATAGATTCTCGGAATTTTTGGCGCCATTTTAATCAGTTATATATTTCTCGATGAAGATGATAGATGTAAGTTGAATTTCTGATTTGCAATATATTTAAATTTTATTTTTTTATTTTGAAATTATTTCGACTTTTTCTTATTGTAGACATTGCTTTTGTATTTATTTTATACCGGTTGTTATCATATACATATTGTATATAAAGTACATAAAAAAGACTATCTCAAATGTCAAGTTTAACTGAAGCAAAGTTAATACAATATGTAAATTAGTACTTTTCCATGATTCAAGTGCATATGAGCTCAAGCATCCTCCGCAATCGCTAAGCAAGAGCAATACTTCCACATCGCTAAGTCAATATTGACAATAATGCAGAAATGCACATCTTTTGTTGGCAATAAAATTCCGCACAAAACAAAACAGTTTATGCCCATGCTCCTTTGCTACATGGTTGACATTATCTAGACTAGATGAGGTACTTAACCCACTTGTAGGCTTAAATCTTAATGCTTTAAGCTATGCATACGAAAATACTTTTACGCCTACACAGCGGCATTGCTGCAAACGGAAATAAAATTGCGATTTCCGACAGTTAAACAGACAAGCACTGCCTTGACATGAATTTTCTTTTTCTTCCTTTGGTTTCCTTTTTTCACATTTTTATTTATTTTTTTTCGTCGGTCTACTTTAGATGTTTTTGGAAATGTGCTTTTTATATATGAAAAGAATTTTGTATATGTAAAAGTGCAATAGAATTCTTTTTAAAAATTCCAAAACAGATCTCTTCTTCGTATAATTTTGTATTCAGTCATTTCGCAACAGGATTCCTTTAAGGGTTTACAATTAAAAAAAAGTCGAAATATATTCATTATAAGGTCTTATTGTTATAATTTTAGATCATACGTATTTTGAGTTAAAACTGTTGAAGTAGTTAGTATAAGATTTTGCTATTTTAGTAGATATAATTAAATCATATATGTTAGCTTCTTCTATGCATGTTTGGGTCTTTATTATTAACTAAAAACGAGTCAAGTAGCAAACATTTACGTAAAATATGCTTTAATAAAATATAAACATTTTTTATACATACAGTATGAAATACACATAAAGCGTGATCTATTTTAAATTCTTTTAACTTTGGAAAGTGATTATTTGGTTTAAGGAACAAAAGAAATCGTAAGGCCTACATAAAAACCCTTAATACTTGCATAAGGCTTTTTGTTTTTGTAAGCATATCACAAAAGAACAACCGCTTATTTTCAAAATAACTTATGAAACAACAACACTGCTGGCTTATTTAGTCCAATTTTTGTGAAACCACTTAACTATGCTTAAGCAGCTCAAATCCCATGGTTGTCAAAACTAAAAATTCATCTGCTAGGAACGGTTTTTGGAACTACGTACAAAATTTCCAGTTAACTGTCAACAAATAGTTGACAAATTATACTCAATTCTTTTTAATTTACTACTATTTTTGTTAACATTAAAAAAGCCTAAAAATATAAATTTTATTCACTGTCTTGTAAAAAATAAAATAATTTTACCCATAATTGCAAATAATTATTTATTTTCAAAACTTGAACTTTAAATTTTATTACGCCTAACAAAATTCCCAGTGATTCCAGAGTTGCCATCAAAAGTAGTACTTATTTTATGTTGTTCTTTTGCGATATGCATACAAAACAAAAGCCTATAATTGATTTAGTTAGTGAAAAACCTTACATTTCATAAATAGGATAAAGTAACTAAATAATGGAGCAATAAGTATTAAGGCGGAAATCATAAATGTTCAATTGGTTATTTTTAATCGCTAGAAGTGATTAAATAATTGCAAGTAATACTTAAATATATTTAATCACTAGTAGTAAAATCTTGACGCATCGCAAGATTTAAATTGGTTTGATTGTAAATGGAGCCTAAAAATTAATGTTTAAGTTATTAATGATATATAAAGTTAATTTCATGTTAGTGACGTACTCAGATCATATTGGATGTTTTAGAAATGCTCCTCTTTCACTTTTTCTGATTTTAAAGTCAAAATTCTCATTCCAATCAATCAATTTTAATATGACCAAAAAATAACGAGCGTAATCAACAATTAATTTCATTATTAAAATGTATTAACTTTATAGTTACATTGACCTCTCCATAGGTTTCTAATATTAAAGTAAAAGGTGTATGTGGTTTTCCAACTTCAAATATAATTTTAGTGACTTACCTGTCTAATATATATGTCTAATATAGAACTAATATGTTTACTCGAGTTGTGATCAGCACCATGATATCCGTTTATAATTTGGATTAATGGATTGGAACACAAAATATACTGATAAGTAAAAAAATGTTCAATATAGTTTGTGAAGACCTTTTCTTCTAATATCTTCCTTAAAAACATTCGTAATATTGTTGATGCGAACACATTCCACGTTACGTATCCGAGGTATTAAACCGGTAGTTGCGAACCTCAGATTTAAATAATGAGTTTGTTTTGATTGTTCAACAAAATGTATTTATGTAGACTATTAAAAAAATTGACAACGAATTTATTAAAAATTACTTAAATATTTGTTACTTGAAGATCTAATAATAACAACTTATATATTGTAACATGTATTGGTTTTGGCTACTGCTAGACTTTGTTGTTGTATAACCTCATCTTACCGCATGTAATTAGATACTAACAATTATATATATTTCATCTGTTGACATAGTTATAGTATTCAAAAGGATTTGCTTATCCTATTAATAAAAATTTTATAATATTAACTGAGTACTATTTGATTTCCTATAAAGCATTCATGTCTTGTGTTCGTTTGCACGAATTATAATCTTTTGAAATTAAATACTTATGTGATGTGTAATTATGAAAATTAATTCTAAATAAATTTTATTTTGAAAAACATAAAAAATTAAGTTTCTTGTCAAATCTTAATGCATATAATGACTGTGCTTTTTTTGTAGGTATATGTGTGTGTATTTGTCCATATAATAATTTTATATCATAAAATTTTCCTCATTGTATATTATTTTTAATGTAAAGAACATTTTTTTTTAACTTTAAAAAATTTTATATTAAGTCAAATTATTATTATATGATTATTATTTATGTGTAAAAAATTAAAAAACTTACAGCGTTAATTTTTTAATAAATAAAATTGCATAATAATTATTTTAAACAATTTTATAATATATTATTATCCAGTTTATTTGGCATTTGATAATTTCTCTTACTACTTACTTCTACTTCAATTGTTTTACGTTACTTATTCTATTGCTCTCTCTATATTCTCTTATTATCATTGAAAATAGAAAAATTTATTTGAAGTTAAGAAGTGTGATCAAAAAGTAACGACAATTTAACATTTTTAATTTATTTATTTAATCATAAATATTTATTCTACCTCCTTTAAGTAATGTCAAAGACAATGGTATTCTGGGCTCTGTGGCCCGGAGCCCAGAATACCATTGGGGTACAGCATGACGGCAGCCTATGTCAATAAGTGGATAATCTCACTTCATCTTAATAGATGGAGAGAGTTGAGCACTTGTAGACAGACCAAACTCATGTTACCTAAACCGTGGGCCAGGGAAGCGATAAAAGTGCTTAGCTATTCGCGGAGCACTCTAAGCTGGCTGACCTCACTAATTACTGGACATGGCAACTTCAAGTATCACCTCAAATAGATAACTCTTGCTGAGGAAGACACTTGCAGATTATGTCTAGAAGAAAAGGAGACAGCGGTGCATATATTGTGCCAATGTCCAGCACTGGCAAGTAGGAGGAAGACTGTCTTGGGACACCATTGGGTTGGTGACGACTTGGCAGGAAACCTCAAGCTAAATGAGATGCTTGCATTAACAAAAGATGTAGTTATGCGAACGGAAGCCACTCCAGCTTTAACTCAATAACAACATCCGAGAATCGAAGGACGAAAAAGGACCCAAGTCGTTTCGTGGTCTACTTCGACTAATCCTTCACTTCAGTGGGGCCACTTGTTGGACAGTGCGCTGTCCCAACGTCCCACCATATATATAATGTCAAAGACTCACTTTAATATTATTCTGAAAGAGTTTCTATTTTTTTGAGAAAAATGTTGTCTATTTAAGTTTGAGATATATAAATATCAACAGAATAGAGTATGTGCGGAATTATAGTGCTTTTATATTTCATCACGAATTGTTGGATAAAATTTTTTCGGCTATTTGTGTAATGCTCAAAAGATTTATCAAAAATTCATTACTTCTCATGCGCCCTATGGTATTCCTATTTCTTCAGTAACCTCTCTGATGGTTATTAACAAGCATATTAATTTATGATGTTTTTTATGTTTTTGGCATTTGTGGGAAGTACAAGAATGCCCAAAAGTCATGTCATATTTAATTTCTTTTCAATTTATACCATTTATAAACACATGATTATGACAGAGTACTGTCAAAAAGTAATTCTTTATTATTTTGAATACCTAGCTGCACCAAATTCTGTTTTTAATAGAAACATTTTCACAAACTTTCTGATTTTGCCACACATAAAATTCGGTAAACGTAGTAATCCATTTGCTTGGCAAGATAAAAGTAACATAAGTATTGCAGTTACCTTATAGTTAATATGTACATTAATTTTTTGGCAGTGCAACCAATACACAAAAATAACTTGACCTTATAAACAAAATATAGTATACACAATTTTAAAATTATTGTTACTTTTTGATAATAATTTAATAATAATAATTAGTTTTAATTATTATTAATAATTAATTTTTATTTTAAAGTTTCTCAATTAAGCTATAATTATATATAATTTTATAATTATTATTGTTTGCATTTTGATACAATAAAATCGCTGTAGGTTTTTTAATTTGTTTTAAAAGAAATAAATGCGGCTTACTTTTGTTAAGTATCTATCTTTATTAGTTTTATATTATTATTGTATTTATCATGAGAATAACAAGTGCATATACTATACGTGCATGTTTGTACGTCCACTAAAATAATATTCAAAGTTTGTAAAAATCATTTAAAATTATTTAATCATATTTAATCCGTAATACACAACAACAAAAACATTGAACAGAATCATTTGAGCTCCTTTAGTTGGAAAATATTTTTATAATAATATTATGTACTTTATATATAAAGCTATAAGAAGCATAAATGCAATATTTTATTATAATTAATATAAATTGTTATATGCTGAAGTTTACATATATACATATATATAAATTTTTTGGTTTACAGTCGATTTCATGAATGGTGATGCCAAAAGTCCACAACACACCGTGGTTCATCCAATGTACGTGAGCTATACAAGTATTCCTACATCAGCAAGCGCAACAATGTTGTCAAACAAGCATCATCATAATCATCAACAAAACTCACATCATCAGCAATCAAATAATAATACATTTAATTTAATACACCACACGAACAGTAGCAATAAAAAGCATAGCAACAACAGCAGCAACAACACACCAAATTCAAGCAAAAATAATACATTAACGCGTGTGCTTTATAATTCGAAAAATAATAAAATTGCATCGTCCACAACAAGCATTTTGCCAGCAGCAACGGCAGCGGCAACAGCAACAGTAACAAATAATGCGAAATTGTTGCAACAATATTATGACGATAGCACGGCAAAGGCTGATCAGTTGTATACGAGCAGTAATCGTCGACAACTAGCGACAGCCAATGCCACATATCAGCAACATTTTGTCACGCCCACTTCATCGCATGATAATACAGTGTCCTCACTTTCATATGCTTCATTGCAAAATTCTAATTTTATTTCAGCCAATAACTTACATAGTGTTTATGCAGCTGAAAGTCCTTTGAGTGGTCGACGTGGTGGTGGGATGGGAAATAGTTCAATTGGTGGGGATGCCGCCACTGAAGTTGGTTCATGTTTGACCAGCAGTCCTCTGAGCAACAGTAATTATAGTCTCACCAATAGTATCAATAATAATAATCCAGTGGCTGGTACTAGTAATAGTGGAAGGTTTGCGCGCATACATGCAAAGCCCAGACCTCCCAAGTCCACTAGTTATAGTAATTTTATAAATAGTAATGGCTTACCTATTGGGTCCGGTAACAATTTACACCGTCCTGATATAAAATATACACAAATGTCCTCTGAACGTTTATCGAACAATTTCGACGAAAACTTCGAAGATGATAATTTTTCATTGCGAAATTTCAAAACTGATGGTGCAGTTACGTATGTACCCTTTCAAAAACCAACACCAGGAAATCTCTTTGTCAATCACAATAATAACCCCTCATATACTTCACTTAATTCCTATACAGTTAATCAAAATAGTTTAAATAATAATGTTGCTAGTCCAAACAATAATTCCTATGCGCAGGAAACACATCCACGAGATAACTCACATATTTTCTTAAATGATAATGAAATTTTACTTGAGAATGGGGCAAAACTTCACCCAGTGTCCATTCAGGAAGCGGCAATATTAGAAGAAAAAAGGCGTCAATTACAATTGCAACAGCAATATCAAGCTCAAACTATTTTCAATCCTGCTAATCACTTTATGCAACAACAAAATGGCTTACCTTTTCAACCCGCATACTCCCCTAAGCCATATAGAGCGAACTCAGCTCGACCAACTCGTCCAACTAACATTCCACTACCAACAGTACCAGTGCACTCATTTGATATCCCAATTTCACCTTCAGAGGTCACACCACCGCCACCACCAGCACCGCGACCGCACATATTTCAGCCACGCTTAGGGCATGCACCCTATCCTGATCTCTCGCCAGAAGTAACAGAAAAGTACGCCATGCCTTCGCAATACATACCAAGATCTCCGGTTGCTACGCGAGTTGCGCGACGACAACGTCAACAACATGAACGTTCACAATTAGCAAATAATTCAGCTAATTTCTGTGATCAAATACGCAACACACAACCTACTTCCCATATAGTCCGTGCTAAAAGTCACGACAGGCTCTCCAACTCACAAACAGCGCAGGCCAAGGCAAACAAAGAAATTTCTGCGCCACATGTTAACCGACGTAGCGGTCGGAGGGAGGGTGGTAAAGCGCGTCCACGTTCATATTGCAACTCAATGGTGGGCGGTGAAGGCGTCATACGTGCTAATATTGCAGTCGATCGTGAAGTGAGTGGTGTTATTTCAAGTGGCCTGTTAACTGGTAACGACAGAGACATAGACCACGAGGTTTAGACTAATTGTCAATTTAAACTGCCAAGAGGAGTGAAGTTTCCTTTAGATGCAAGTTGCCAGGCCAGCACTTACATATACTGTTCTATCAGCTTTGTTATGTCATATGTTTCATCCCCATTAAAAACATTTTAAATTAAATTTTTTTTTAAATTTAAAAACGTTTTAAAATTTTAGACTTGTAGACTGCGACTGCTGATAAATTTAATTTGAAACTTTTTAATTGGTGTGCCTAGCGCGGGACGCTGAAATTGAAAGTGTTGCTTGCAGAATAGCAGAATGTTGCGTGTGCTGTTTAATGCTGCTTGCTTGCTTCTCTTGTAATACTGAAAAGCAACTAAAATGTATGTAAATTCTAAAACCAAACTACAAATGTTTATTTTGTGTAGCTGATTAATATTAATTTTAATATTTAGATTAAAAACGTGATTTTGTTGTGCACTAAAACGAGATGTTTGTAATTTTTGTTGTTAACATTTTTTTGTAAATTTGTGTACAAATATTGGAAACGAAATTTTTTTTTATAAGCAAAATAAGTTTTAAATTTTATTTCTATAAGGAAATAAAAGCAAAAGAAATTAATGCTTAAATTTTGCGTTGAATACTAAAACGAATACAAATCAAAAACAAATCAGTGGCATTAAATGTTGCTAAACTTTTATGTTTCTCTGTGCAAATGTTGCTGCAACATTTTTAATAATTTTTATTTTTGTTAAGGATAGTTTTTTTTTGTTTTTGTAAGAAAACTTAGATTTATTTTTCTATAAAAGACTTGTTTGTATTATTTAACTTTACACGGTAATATATAATGCATAATAAATGATTCATCAGAGAGACTTTCAATTCTCAAAAGCTAATTTGAGTAAAAATCAAATTAAATTCAATGGAAAGGATTTGTTTATTTAATATCAAAAACAAAAGTAAAAAAAATTAATTAAAAAATTAAAGAATATAATATAATTAACGCCTTCAATGGGCACTAAACCTTTGTATGTGTGCAAATAGTAGGACGCACTTGAAGTGAGCCAAAGTCACAAAAATTAAGAATATGCCTTTGCCATTAGTAAAGAAAAGTAGATTTTTAAGCATTTCAAAAAACAAAAAAAAATATAATGATAAAAGAAAATAATTTTTAACAAAACTTAATCAATTTTTAGAGAAAAAAAAATAAATTTATGGAATTATGAAAACTAATTGTATGCAAAGTTGCCTTGTAGAAACGCTAAACTGAAGCTAAATGCAAAACGAGATAGTTTTAAGCTCTATTCCTTGTAGTTTCTAATTTCTTTATTTAAACTGTGATATAAGAACACGTCAAAATTACATATAATTAAAATTTTCAAAGCCATATTAGATGAAATTTAATATTTTGCATAGGTAGAAACTGTATTCGAAAGGCCTTTCGCAGAATTAAGTGCAAATCGAGGAAAATAAATATATTCAATTATAATGTATCAACTAGAAATGCCTTGAAAAGAATCAAAAATTATTATAAATTTATTAAATATAACATATAATTATAGAGTATGTACATTCATACATACATTAAGTAAAATAAAATAAATAAATTTATTTTTGTCGCATATGTAAAAGTATAAGTAGTAAATTTAAATACAAAATTATGCTTATAAAATTATATAAAAACATGTGTTACTTATAGAATATATGTATTTTTAATTAATATTTCAAATTTCATTACTTGATGTTGTCCACTATAAGTTTCAGGAGAAGTCATCTAACTTTAAGCATAGAGCAAACAAATGAAACTCAATAAATAAATGTTTTTTGTATAAAATAAAAACTGTATTTATTATTAAAAGCTAATATTAAATTAGCAATTTTTATGTTTCAATATTAACCAATCATTTTTGACTTTACACAGATAATTTCCTAACACTGGTACGGGTTTTTCGTTTTATTGTTAGATTTTTAAAATGCATCTTAAAAAATTGAAGTAATTCAGTTGCAATTCTTTTTACTTTAAAATCAATTGTTTGAGAAAAAAATCTTTTTTTTTTAATATTTGCTTAAGTCTTTAATCAGGACTGTATAAATCATGTTAAAGACATGATTAAAATGCTCAACAAATTAATATTTTTTAATTGGTTCTAGAATTCGTCTTTTTACAATATTTTATTTTTGAAAGATGTTCTGCGCAATTATACGAGTTGATAGATAATAAAAAACCGAATTAAAAACGTAGATTATTAGACATAATTTAACATTATTTAATATATTTTTAATAACAAAGTAAATTGTATATTTTTGTTAACTAATAAATTTCCTTCTTATTACTAATGAATGCACTTGCAAACTCCCAGGTAAATTGCTATACATATATTTTTGCTTAAATAATAAAAGATTTACATTAAACTTAATAAAAATTGTTCTAAAATATCGTATATTTCTTTTTATTCCACAGTAAAGCATGTTAATAAGAAATCGAAACATCGTCAATCATTATACTCAATTGAGTTTGGACCTAGTATCGATACGATACGTAGCCGTGCTGCTGCCGATACAATTCTTGACTATGACGACCAAATGCACGATCGTGACGGAAGTAAATTGAGTCCTAAACCTATGATGACACCACGTCGTGTTAAACGTCGTTCAGTTATGGCACGCGGAACAAATAATCGCACTTCCACCACAAGTAGACGTAGTCATGCTAATAGCGGAGCTAGTGGCAGTGGTACCAATTCACGCAGCAGCGTGCGTAGTTCACGTCGTAAATATCAACAAAATCCAGTTACTAAACTATTAGATCAACAGCAACAATTACAACATCACCATCATCATCATCACCAACAGCAGCAACAGCAAATTAAACAATTTGGATCATTTCATCATCACAAGGAGAATTCAGCCTTAACTGAGACAAATTTACAAAACCTAAATCAGGATATTATAAGTAATGCGGGCAGCATTACTAATAACATGTTGGCTGGAGGTAGTTTGACAAAGACTAACAACAACCACTATCATAGTTTTCGTAAAAATATACCTCCAGATCCTATATATTATAACACAAATGGACAATCCGGTTTATTTCAACAGGCATGGCAATCAAATTCGCAATCACCGATTGTCGCTGAAGAGCCTGCTTCACCAACATTACTTACACCCACAATTGCTGGTCATTATAATCCGACATATCAACATTCAACAACAAATCTTAATAATGTGGAACACGTCGATGAGCTTTACAACAATCGTCCACCATCCGTACGTTCAAGTTATTCAAATTTTCATGGTACACGTCCAGCTTCTTCTTATTTAGCAAACACTTCGGCAACAGAAAATGTTTTTGCCGGGTTAACTGGTGTAACACAACATCAACATCAACATCAACATCAGCAACAGCAGCAGCAGCAGCAGCAACAACTACCGCAACATGTAGCGCCTTCTACACCACCACTGTATCAACAACATCCATTGCATCAACAAGTGCAATCTAACAGTCAGCAGCAATTGCCATTGCCTCCGCCATCTCCAAATTATTCTAGTAATTTGCCACAAAACATACCATTCACCAACTCTCGTGAGAGTATTCGTTCAATGGCTTTTCTCAATAGTGGACCACCAGCATATAATCTCAATTATCATACGCCTCCAGACTCGGAGACAACGATGTGAAAAATATAAAATAATTACAAAACCGTCCATACGTTTCATTAAATACAATATAGATTTAATTTTGATTACGTTAATACTACACAGAAATCAATATATGCTTATTTATTTTATTTTTACTTAATGTAATCCTAGTACAATTATTGTCTTAACTATTATTACAAGTTAATAAAAGTTTATTAGAAAAAAATCGACAAAATGTGTTGATCTCCTCTTTAAAGTGAAATGAACTATAACTTAACATATACCATGCAGAGTGGTTAGAAATTATTATTAAGTAATTGAGAAATTGAAATAAATAAATTATAATAAAATAAATTGCTTCCGATATAAACAATTTTGCTACTTGTTCAACAAGTTTCTAACTGTAAGGTTTATAATTAATAATTAAGTAAATTAATATTATTATTTTTTATTTAAGCTTTAACTTTTATTTAATGTATTTATTTGTAAAGCCAAAGCAATTGTGTAAATATTTCAAAATCGCTATATTAGTGCTTAAGTTTTCTTTTAATAAATAAATAAATTGAATTCTCATTAATATGAAACTTAAATATATTTAGGTATATTAAAAAACATTTAAACTTAAATAAATAATTGATGTAAATTACATTTTAAAATAAACAAGTAACAACTTAAGCATTTTGTTTTTCTCTTAATTATGCACATATCTTTTTCTTTTATTTTTGGTATAGCTCATAAGGTTTTGCATGTTTCGCTAGAAAGGTGAACACCTTTATAAACCCTTCTGTTTTTATTTATGTAAATTAATACCCCACATTTCATCACACTCATCAAGGATAAGTGATATACTAAATAGCATTTATATCAAATGAGAAGACATTTAGGTATAATACTTCGAGAAGGTAAAAACGACTACATTTATCCTTTTGTATGAAAAACTTCAGCTTTTAAGATCCCTCACTAGACTTAATCAACGATATAAAGCATCTCATCATGAAGGAAGCTTCTCAAAGTTAAAATTGATTAAGACCTACTTGAGAAGTGGGATGAGTCAAGAGAGATTTATTTATAAGTTACATCATTATTACATCATCATTATTAAAGAGATTTATTTATAATTTATTTATTTTTATATACTCGGTAATGAAAGAGACCACGCAATTCTGATGTCGCGTATGCTATATTCTTTCGTCACATTGGTAACAAATCGCATATCACGATGGCGATCACGATGTCTGGAAGGGTGTATGAACTACAATTCGCAGTACTTTACTTTGGAAGCGGTGAATTTTAGCACCCGGTGATGAATACGTAACTCCACGTCGAATGAATGATAAACAAATACCTGATCATTTTACTCGCCCAGTCTAACCTCAACTGGTTGACTAATTTTGTGTAATCTGAAGTCAAATTATTCCTTTTTTTTTGAAGGTGCGCCTTCCATCGCAATTATGCATCAAGCGTAGTACTCAGACAATTAAACAAATTAATTAACAATATAGTTTAAAATTATAAGACGATTGGCGATTTATTGAATACATAAGTGATGCAATATATGGTCAGACCAGAAA